ACCATTTATCATGTAATAATGAATTGAGGTATTGGATTGGTTGTGGTTTTTGATTTACAAAGAGTGCGTTTATGTGAATTATAAATAGATCAATGAATGAGTTGAAATCTCTAATACTTGTGGTCTTTACCGATAAACCAGAACAGAGTTTTACTTGGTTCAGTCTTGGAGATTTGTTAGTTGAAAAGAAAGATACACAGGATCGAATCCATTATACGTCACATTGATTTTGTTCAGAGAGAGGTTAAAGATCCAGATTCGTGTTTTTATAACAAAAACACTTCACAATATTATGACTGCTTGAGTAACAATAATTGGTAATTACAAACTATGAATTTCTCTGTGTGTTGCCTCTGTAAAATATTCTTCTAAGATATGTCTTTGGGTTCAGCGATACATGTTGTCATCAAATCAACATGTCAATCTTACAAAAGAACTTTTAAACCTTTGTAACATATTCAACAACGAAACATTTTTCTGCAAAAACCGATAGGTTTCACAACTATAATTAAGCTAAACCATAAGTATCAAGAAAAGAAAGGTTACTGTTACTTCTTTTCATAGCTGTAATAATTAGCATCTATCTATAAAATGTTCTCTATATTTACAATGAATAAGTCATCTTCAGGACAAGAAATCGTTAAGCAACCCATTAGATGATGGAAACTAAACGCATTGAGCAGAGTTTGAAGCAAATGTTCGAATTATTGGACTGGTCGTTGTTTGATTATTTACAAAGAGTGAGTTTTGTTAATTATTCACAGTATATAAGTCTGAGACACATAAATCAATCGAACCCTAAATTATTTATCTATATATAAAGAGGAAAGAGTGGGCAAGCGTAGAAAGTCAAAAAATTTATTTGAAATTTGGGAAGCATGACGAACATATCCGATCTTCCAAGGGATGTGGTAGAGGTTAATATACTCTCTAGGGTTCCATTAACGTCTCTCAAACCAGTGCGATCTACTTGCAAAAACTGGTACAATTCATCCAAAACGCAGATTTTGGGTAAAGCAGCTGCAAGGAAACAGTTTGTAGGGTTTGTGATGGTTGAATCTATGGTTTTTTCAATGGTCTTTGATCTCCAAGGAATCCGAAACAGCGAAGACTTTGTTGACCCATCTGTAAAGCAATTAGTGAAGTAAAGATGTCTAATATCTTTCACTGTGTTGGCTTATTGTTATGCGTCACCAAGGACCACTCGGGGCTTTTGGTGTGGAACCCGTATTTAGGGCAAAGGAGGTGGATCAAACCAAGAAAAAATGCCATCACAAGTGACATGTATACTCTCGGATACGACACAAACAACCATAACCACAAATTCTTTAGGTTTTTGTTTACCAATGTCATTCGTGGAATCGAAATCTACGATTTTAACTCCAATTCATGGAGAGTTCTTGATTTCACTCTCGACTCAGAGATATGGTCTCATGAATGTGAAGCCGTGTCTTTGAAGGGAAATACTTATTTTTTTTCTCTGGAGAGATAGGGAATGCAGCTTTTTTACTCTATTTTGATTTTACAACAGAGAGATTTGGACCGCGTCTTCCTCTCCCATTTCACTCTATTGACGATGATTTTGATACTGTGACTTTATCTTGTGTCAGAGATGAGCAGCTTGCTGTATTATATGAACACTATGTATATCCTCGCATGATTGAGATTTGGATTACGACTAAGATTGAGCCCAGTGATGTATCGAGATTTCAAGTTATCTTCTTATGTTCCAAGTTTAGTGCAACTTCAAACCAAACAACGGGGCAAAAGGAAAGAACGAGAAACAACCGTGCAGGAGAAAAGAATCCTTAGGAAAAGACCGGTTAAATCATCAACAAATACTTAAGAGATGTAACTGCATTTCAAGCCGGCTCCTAATCAAAGATTCCTCGAATAAACAACCCTCCTAAATCGAAGTGGAAGTTTCGGTTTACTATCTAGTTTCGTTGGTTGTGACTTTATCTTTGCATCATTTTCTTTTGAACAATATTAGTAGACTAGTACTAGTAGATTATTAACTTTTTGTGTGTGTTTACTATTTATCATCTAATAACGAGTTTGGCTTTTGCATGTTTTAACCCCTTTCAGTTGTTCTTGTCATCTTCTTCAATCTCTCGTTCACAAAACGATTACGTTTGTAGAACTTTTTAAACATAATCAACCAAAAGAAACATTTTTCTACAAAACAATCTCCAGAATGTAAAAACTCAAAATAACCCTTCAAAAACTAGCATCAAGTTTTTCTCTTTTTATTGATTTTGGTAAGGAAGAATTACATAGAAGGGATAAAATATTCATTTAGTAGAAGAAGGTGGTGGTGCCTTGGAGGCATCTCCCTTTTGATCTTGCTTAGATCCACTCACAGCTGCTGTTGCAGCTACGGTCATAGCTGTAGCTGCTGCACCTAGCTTTACACCACCAGCTGCCTTCACTGCACCTGCAAGTTTTGCAAATATCGCCACTCCACCTACCAGGATACCTCTCAAAGCTACCGTAGGTTTCACCACCATTTTTCCTTATTCCCTGCCCATTTTCATAATTTGTATCATACTTTGTTTGCTCGTTAAAGACTCAAAAGTACGAAACTCGATCGGTTTCAACACTATAAAGCTAAACCATAAGAATCAAGAAGAGAAGGTCCTTGTTACTTATCATAGCAGTAATAATCACTAATCAGTACAGATACAAGATGTTTACTCCCAATACATGTCACACTACAGATACAACACATCATCTTTAGAACAACACACAATTCTCAAAGCTATGTCAAAGCGTTTTTCAATTACTCTTAGATGCATCATCATTCTCATGGAAAATGAGAACAATGGCATTTGTAAGAATCCGAGGAGAACAAAGAGCATGTGACTCGGTCTCTCTCTTTTGTTTCAGCAGCAAACAATTACGATTTTTCAAATCAAAATCAAATATTCGTACACAAACCTAATTCTCCAAAACCAAAATTGCATCTTAACAACAAAATCCCTCCATTATTCTTGTTCGTCAACCTAAGAATCTAGAAAATCGGCTCTATAAAAAATTTTCCTACCAAAATAGCACAATACAATCCAAGATTCCCCTAACGAACCAACAAGCAAAAAGGAAATAGCAACAATACAATCCAAGAGTACTGTTTAGAGATTCGAATAGAACTCAATAAAGTTGAGAAATTTCCGATACAGAGTTATGTCGGAAAAACTCACCGTTAAACGCCTTTTCTCTGTTGGTGTCGGAGATGGAAAATCGATTTTTTTTTCTCGGCGAGATGTTCTCTTCTCTTGGACAATTTATAACACCCAAACGTCGTCGTTTAGTAAAGGAATATTCCTTACGTCGTCGTTTTTAATCACAACTTTGTTCTTACGACATCGTTAAAATAGATTGGCTACGTCGTCGTTTTAAACTCATTTCACACTTCTTCAGTTTTTAGAAACAAAACGTATGTCACCGTCGCCGGCGGTTCAGACATCGCTGCCGCAACAGAACCTGTCACTAGCTTCTTCTCAGTTCCATATCTATCCGGTTAGAGATCATTAATTTCGATTTGATCTGTTATTTTCACTATTGGGTCTGATTTCTATTCGTTTTTAATGGCTGTGATTTTTTAGTTGATAGAGAGATTATCGAACGAAATCGAAACTGGGAGTTCTGATTTCATGGTTCGTTTTCCTCCCCAATCACTTGGAAGTATTCTGCGTTGATTTTGGTTTCCTTTTTTTTGGGATTTGCAGGTGAGTGAATTGAAAAGTCGTTTTGAGAGAATTGTCAGAAAATGTTGTATTCGATTTCTGGATCACTTGGATCCAAAGCTATGGTAATATATTTACACTCCTTTCTCATGAGAGGAACAAAGTTTTGCAGTTTCTGCTTTTGGTGTGTTAAGACTTTGAAATACACACTAGTGTGTATATATGCAACAACTTAAGATATTGATTTGCATCTATATATCAC